AGACGTTAATGAGTGTGAGGTGTTTCCTGGCGTTTGTCCAAATGGACGCTGTGTCAATAGCAAAGGATCTTTTCACTGTGAGTGTCCTGACGGCCTTACATTGGATGGAACTGGCCGTGTGTGCTTGGGTAAGATTCACATCCTTTCATTTTTTTATGCGTGAAACCAGCCATGAATTTTTCTTATTCTTTGGGCAATGACTAGTTCAAAACCATTAGGTCTGTAGCTAGAAACTCTTTAAAGATATTTTGAGGGAAAATCACTAATGGATATTTTTAAAGTGAATGTGTTTAATTGAAATGGTTTTTATATAATATGGAATGTTGATACTGCTCAAAAATTTACCTCAGAAATAACAGTTTCTTTAATCAGACAGTTTTGGCACGTTCATTCTTTCACACTGAGTCAGTGAAGTGAGAGAATTATGTATATTTTGAACATGGGAGAAAAACTGGAGACCAGTGTTCGAAGTTAACCTTTAGCAGCCCGTTGCAGCTGTGTTCTTAGACAACAGTGGGGAAAGTCATGGTCAAAGTTACGTTGTTTCTCTTTGAAAACATTGACCATCCATCTCTGTCCTTCCTTGACCACCTTTAGAGTTTAAATTTTCTTAATGCATTATTTTCTAAAGATCTAAAATGAAGCTCTTTCAACATTGTTTTATAGAAATGTGTAGTGGATCTTATTCTTTATCGGTGTCATGCTTGGCTAAACTGGAGTTTCAGGATTGAAAAAAAACCTTGTATTAATTCTATATTGTATCTAAACAATTTTTTACTTACTTAAGGGACTTTTCCCCAATATACTATCGGAACGGTATTTAAACTAACGTAATATAGGTTTGCATTTTAAATCTAAGCTTGTAGACAAAACATGAGCATGGTAATGTTATATTCCAAGATATTTAGGTATTTGTATATATCAATGATTCTTAACGTTAGGACTAAGAAAAAATATTTGCAGTATCATACACTTTAGTTAGTATAATTAACACAGATTTCATTTTAAATTAATTTTTGATAGCATATTTAAATTTGGATATAAAGTGTGACTGTAAAATCATATAGAATAGTTTATAAATTATACTATCCAAAGTTATTCTAATGAAAAATCTTTTTCAGATTTTTATTGTTAAATTATCTACAAAATTAGAACAAAGTAAAATATCTTTTGAAGATGACAGAGTATCAGTATGCTCAGGTGACTAATGAAATCAAGTTGCCTTCAGTAACCAAAGAATACTATATATAAAGCTATATCATTGATTATAAATTATCACTAAGCAAAATTAATTCCCAGTGACATCACTGAAAATCACACCTTTTGTAATACTCTAAAAAGATATGTTGAATTTTTCATTGCAATTTGGTTAAATGTTTTTGTTGCTACTTGAATTATGCTATATTCATTGTGGCTGAGGATGTGAGAAACTTTTAAGAAGAAATTGGCCTATGGAAATGTAAAATTTTCTGAGAACAAAAGTAGAGGTCAATTGCTTCGATAGAATTGATCTAAATCCGTGGTCCCAGACCCCAGTGCTTTCAGGGACCAGGCAGGTAACATAAATGAGTGGGGTGGTGATAAGGAGCAGTGGGGCCTGCAGCAAATTATAGAGTGCATATACCATCCAGAGACCTCCAGATTCATATTTTAATTTCTGTGCAAGCCAATCAAACCATTCACAGGCCATTATATGGCCAGTGTGCTGACAGTGTTTTGATACTTGCTGTAAATATCGATATGGATCTCAATAGTGAAAATACAGGGTTACCCTGCCAGGGTAACCTTTTTACATACTTAGTTCGCATGATTTTTTTTTTGACTAACCCTAGAATAGCTTCTTGAGCAAATTACCTCAATTACTTCAGAAATAATTGGCTCAATCTAGAGTTCTCAGGCTATCTATACTTAAATAAAACTGTCATATCTTGTTAAGATCCTTTCTTCCCTGGTGACAGTGTAGGGTGCGGTTGGCTGTGACTGAGACCAGCCCCTGAGTGCCTTGCGTAATGAGACTCACTGAATTGCTGTCACACCTCGCAATGGCAGAGAATGTGGCTTTGTGATTAGTGTTAATGCAGACACAGAAGGCAAAATCACTACTGTGAATACCTATATTCAATCTATCAAATCAGTGAAAATTTACCATTATTTTTCTTTAAAAATAGGACTTCTTAATTACAGTACTTGGAAATATGTGTAACTCTAGACTAAAGAAAGTTGCTAAAGTTGCTGTTACTTTTGGTTGAGAACTAAAAAGAATCAGTATTGACTATAACTAAAATAAAAAGCATATTTATTTGTTTATGTTTACATTTTACTAGAAATTTCTTTCCCTCTGTTAAACAGTTTTTAGGTTTAGGAAATTATTTAATATCTTGAAATACTCTTATCAAGTAAAACATGGTATTTACTTTTTCTGAACTCATTTTCTATATTTGCACTTTAACAGCCAAGTTATTTGACTGTAATTTGACCAACAACTCTATTGACTAATGGGTAAATGTGTTATTTATAGATTGTGCTAATTTACTCTATTTTGTGACTGTTGGCTGACCTTTTAAGGTTCTAGCTTAGCATGTTGAAACATTATTACGCTTCAAGATTAAAGGGAAAAAGTGGCGTTTAAATAAATAATTTGGCCCCTTATTAGGGCAGATTTACATAACCCAGGCCAAAGAAACATAATGCAAAAAATAAATTTGGCAGAGAAAAAAACTTTAAGTGCAATAATATTTTTTCCTTTGTAAAGCTTTAATAATAGTTGTACCAAATCGGAAAATAGATTACGGTTGATCGTTTACTGTTTATGACTAAGACCTGACAGGGCTGCTCACAAGCCACTTTAAGCAACTCCGTGAACAAGAATAACCTGTCGCTAAAATTATTTATTCTTTTTGAAGTGAGCAATACAAAAAAAAAGGATCATACGTGATGATATGAAGGAGTCTTGTCACAGGGGAACATTTTCTTCCCGAAGGTGTCTTGTGAGAATTAAGTAATGCTGATTTCTTTAGGTGACAGTCCATTACGGAGTCCGCTCCAGGCACACCTCCAGGGCCTGACGTGCCGGGCGCCAAGCAGATGTTCGGCATATAAATAAATGTTCAGCGGGTGCTACAACTTAATCTCAAACTGCGATTTCACTCACCATGTAGATATCCGCATGGAGCAGTGTTACTTGAGGTGGGATGAGGATGAGTGCGTCCATCCTGTTCCCGGGAAGTTCCGCATGGACGCCTGCTGCTGTGCGGTTGGGGCAGCCTGGGGCACTGAGTGTGAGGAATGCCCCAGACCTGGCACCAAGGAGTATGACACCCTGTGCCCCAGAGGACCTGGCTTTGCTAACAGAGGGGATGTTCTTACTGGGAGGCCATTTTACAAAGGTAACTGAGCAGTGTGTTGGCCCCTCTACACCAAAGTTCACCCTCTGCAATCTCTGAGAATTGGTATTGCTTTAAGCATTTGATTGTCCACTTTATTTTCTTTGTTAAACATAATTTGTGGCCAGTCTTAGAGCCCAGGTGTATAAATCACCTATATAAGATGATATCGAAGTAAAGATATAAAAGATATCAAGCAGACTGCTACTTTCGCTTTTCTTACATCCTTTTACAGTAACTCTGCTTTCCTTAGCACAGCCTGACTCGACGCAGACCTGCTTGTAGCAAAAAGCCCCCTAGACCCCCCTCTGTTTACAAAACAGAGATAAAGGGATCAGAGCTCGTCGTTAAAGATACAGAATCTTCTTTACAATTGAAACTTTTTGTGGGGCATCGGTGTGACCATTGAGATTTCTGATATCCCCCATTTCTACTTGGATACGTTATTTTCCATTGTGATGGATTTTTAACTTGAAATGATATCACCCAGCTCTACATTCTAGCGTTATTTTGCTTTTAGATATCAACGAATGCAAAGCTTTTCCTGGCATGTGCACCTATGGAAAGTGCAGAAATACCATTGGAAGTTTCAAGTGCCGTTGCAATAGTGGCTTTGCTCTAGACATGGAGGAAAGAAACTGCACGGGTAAGCTTCTGTCATGGTGGTTGGTAAACCCGGGCTCTCTTTCTTTTGCTATTTGAAAGTACTGCCTTCAAAAGCCCATCCTCTCATTAAGAACATGTAAATTTTTCTTTTTCTTTCCTTTTCCTAACTCTTAAACCAGTTCTCCAAACTTGTGAGAGCTGCAAAATAACGTGAAAATGCTATTTGTTTTATCTCCAAGAACAACATAAAAATATGATTTTCAGAATATATGAGTACCTAAGAACATAGCCATCAAATCGATAATTGTATAAACTTGATATAATATTCTGTTAAAATTTTTAAAGTTTGTAATAGAGAAGTTGTAACTTATTTTCCTTATCTGTCTACAGTTTTTGTAATAATTATGTTTCAGTTGCCATTCGTATCCTTATCCATAAGCATTCCCTTTTGTTTGAAAGGATATGAAATTTCAACTTTTTCGATTAGATAATATGACACATTATTCCATACACTTGAAATATATCTCCAGAATTTTATTTTCGGAACTGTCTGTATTATTCATAGTCTCTTGGAATTTTCCCTTATCTCCTGTTCTCACACATGCTACTTCTTCGTGACCTCCACTGAATCATCTCTTTTGACCCCTTCCTCCTACTACAAAAGGTACCCCTGGATTCACTCGTGAACTGCCCCCACCCCCAGCCTAGACTATCCCACAGGTGTTTCAAAACTGTTCCTCTGGTCTTCTGATGTTCCACTGTCTTGTCTTTCTGCTATGCCTCCCAGGCCAATCCCCAGCTTCAAACCCCCTCACCATTGTTTGCAGTCTAGGCTGCTGAACTTGGCTTGGAGAATCTGAGAAGAGCCAACTGGGCTACATGCATTCACCTTCCACCAGGCCCTCGTGGCTGCTTAGTGACCCTCTTATTCACCTCCTTACATCACTTGCTGAATTTCTCTCAGCACCACTTCTAAACCTCTTTGGACCCACACACCCTCTCATATCCTTGTTTATTCTCTTTTGAATTTGTCAAGACCAAATCGGAGTGCCAGTACCCTCTCACACACCCTCCTCTCTGGTAATAAAATTTCCTTTTTCTCCCATATTCTCTTTTCCACTTTTAGAGAGTGAGATGTGATGTTCTTCCTCAATTTTCCAGTTAATTCCTCTGCTTTCGCTCTTCGTCTCTCCTCTAGCTCCAGGCCCTTCTCTGGCAGGGTTCACTCCTCTCTCTCTCTCTCCCCATCTTTACTGGTTCCTTTCTCTAAACTTATAAACAAGTTCGAAATCTCTCTGCAGCCCTTTTTTTCCCTCTCAAGCTACCGTCCTGTTTGTCCACTTTTACCTCTTATTCCTCTCTTTAACCATTTTCTTTATAATCTTATGTAACTTCGACTATTGCCCTCCCTTGTTCAGCCACATATATATAATTCTGCAAAACACCTTTGTCAAGTTAAAAAAAACCTTTCTCTTCTGTATGTTCCCCTCAACCTCTAGCTATATTTCTTCCTTGATTTTCTTCTCTTTTGGTTTCCATGATACTTCACTGTCTCAATGACCCTTCCTTGACTATGATGTGTCTTTTCTATTCTTCACAGATTCTTCTTGCTTTTGTGTTTTCCACCCCTTGAGCATTTTCCAGGGTCCTTTGCGCTCCCAGCATTCCACCTCTCAGAATCGCATCTGCTGTCATGACGTCATGGATGGCCTCTGCCAAGCTGACTCCTAGGTGCTATCTCGAGCCCTCTACTCTTCCTGAGTTTCACTCCCACGTTCCTGACTTCCATCTGGACAGTGTCTCTTTGTTTTAATCTCCCTTTATGCCAACCCCCCTTCCGCTGCCTAGGGATGTCCTTGTATGTATTAATAATATAATTTCAATCAGGAGTGAAGCCTCACATTTAATTTTGACATTTCCCTCTCCTGATGGACGAGTGAAAAGTTATATATATTCTCCAATCAAAATGACTATTTCAAGGATTTGTAATATTTCTTCTAGACTATTGCAAACGAAGCTTTGGCTCCTCAGGAAACAGACTCTGAGCAGAGATTAACATGCAGGAAGTTTATGTGGGATTGCCCTTGAGATTAGAAACTATAGGATGGAGGGGAAGGAAGCAGAAATGGGCAGAGGGAGAGGTCGGGCTGTGATGCTGTCCCGTTGTAGCCCTCAGCCCACCCCACGGGGAGCTTTGGACCTGGGTGGCTCATTAGAATTACTTTGAGTTAAGGCAGAGGTGCTAGGCATTTATGTACCCTCATGATCAATCTTTGCATACGTCTGCCCAGAGAAGGGGCGAACTGTAGGGAAGCGGTCCCCTCAGCTAAGCCATTTCCTGAAGATAGTTTGCATCTCGGCTTTCTGCCAGCAGCAGTCCCAACAGCTTGAAGGGAAGAACAAGTAAGTCCTTTCTTCCTGAAGGGAGAACTAGGCAACATACCATGGCATCTACTACATTGCAGAATCTTCCGACTTCTTCCAGTCCGTTAATTTGCCACAGGCAGATCCAGGTTATTATCCTAAAGCAGGGTTTAGAGTAGGGAACTTCTCTCAAAGCAACTTCCGTAGACCCAGACAATCCTAGACCTGGATAAAGAAGTCAGAGTTTTTCCAGTTGTCATTCCACTTCTTATTTTTGGTGTGAACTTAACCAAATCACTTAATGACTCTGAAGCTCACCTTGAACTGTGTAAGAGAGATACTCGTTGACAGCACTGCAGTGTTGTGGGTTAGAATGTGAAAGGACAGCGGGCCACCGGTGGCTGCCCTTCTTCACAGCATTTAAGGCCAGTCTTCTCCCCATGTTCGGGACCCTCAGTGGTCACACTCATCATACCTGTACTTGCACTAATTATCGGCCTCTACAGTCCAGCCACTCTATAACTGACTGTTCCCCAAAGTGCATTATTTTTCTTCACCTGTGCATTTTCACTCTTGCTTTTTCTATTTATTCCACATCTTTAACGTCAGAATTTCTATGCACAATTCTAGGACCAGTTCAGAAGCCACCTCTTCCAAAATACCAGTTCTTATCAGAGAATAGCTTACATATATACAGCACTTTCTGTGAGACGAGAACTGTTCTCAGCACATAACAAACATTGATTCGCTTACTCCTGTGAGGTGGGTTCTGCTGTACTCCCCATTTTACAGATAAGGAAATGGAGGCACAGAGAAATTAAGTGATTTCCCAAGCTCCCTGGAAGACGACAAAGTGGGGTTTGTACCCAGGCATCTGTTTACAATCCACACCCATCATTATGCAGCCTCCACCACATCACACCAGCCAAAATCTGTCTCTGCTCTGCCTTCGGACTTACTCTGTGTTCTTCACATGGCTCTCACCACCAGTTCCTAGACCCTGAGAGATAAAAAGTAATAATTAGTATGCATATTGGTAGCTGTTTAATTAAGAGTCAATTAATTTTCTTAAGATTTTTGTTTAAAAGAAAGTGCTTAAATATGGCCTGCAACTGGGAAAATCAATAAAGACCGAAAGCTGGGAGAAGGCAGCAGCTGAGAACCCAAGAGAGCATGCCCCAGTTAGCCACTTAGAAATCCTGTGGATAGAAAAGCTTAAAAATTGAAATTCAGCAAAATAAACAGATGCTGGCATATGTTATAGACACTATTTCTCTATTGAAAAATCTTACAGGCATGGGAGATTTCTCAGAGACTATAAACACTGTTTTTGAGACTATAAACACTGCTATTGAAGATTCTTATTTACTGTAACTTATAAAAACTTATAAACAGTTTTCGAGACTATAAACACTGCTATTGAAGATTCTTATTTACTGTAACTTATAAAAAGTGACAAACACATCATTTCCTTTTTACTTATATTTTTAAAATAGATCAGTAGGCTCTTCCTGTCTCAATGTGACACAGAAACACAAATTGGGCCCTGCCATATATGAGCACTCTCTGGCTCAAGGTTAGTTAGCTGCATCTGCCTCTGAAGCTGCCTCTCTGTCATTGGTCACCCTGCTCAGGAGCAGCCCCAGGATGGGCGTGGGCGAGTGTAGCAGAACCAGCACGGTCTTTGCGTCACGTGTGGGACTTCATTCATGTGTCCACCGCTTCTTCATTTGCCACCTGCTTTGTCTGGCTCATACTGCAGTTGCTTGGTTCATCCTTCTGTTACCATTTCAAAGCTGCAAAGAGAAATCCACAATTCCAGAATTCTTAAAGGCAAAAAGTCACCACCTGCCCGTTGGCCATGACAGTTGTGGCAGTTGGGGAAAGGAATGTGCCTAAGGCCCTCTCCTCTCTCGCCGATCTCCTAAAAACATATCCTGGTACTGCTAGCCGCTGATTTATCCAACTGTTCAAGTGTGCTGCACCTTCAAATGGAAGGCCAAATCACTCTGTCTCTTTTTTTAACACCCTCTCATCTCATTCTATTTTTTTCATTTATCTTAAACCCTGTGAATTAGATATCGACGAGTGCAGGATTTCTCCTGATCTCTGTGGAAGTGGAATCTGTGTCAACACACCAGGCAGCTTTGAGTGTGAGTGCTTCGAAGGCTATGAAAGCGGGTTCATGATGATGAAGAACTGCATGGGTAAGCGTGGTTAGGCTCGTTCTCTCCAGTCTTGAAACCAGTCAAGCACTGACTCATTAGCTCGACCTTGGCTTGTCTCGGAGCTGTTAACAGCATGCTTGGCAAGGGGCTGTGGTGCGAGGGAACAGCTTTCCATGTCAGACAGGAAGTCTGCTCCTAGATAGCTCTTGGGGAGCCCCAAACTCTTGGCGCCTTCATGGCAATGAGATATTGAGACTGGGTTCTGTTTATTCATAGAATATAAAATCAACACAGACTAACTACTCAGGAGGGATTCATTATGACATTGTGTGGTGACTCCAAAATTTATATTCAGTCATGCAAATCCTGTGTTATTTTCCTTATTTGTCTGTTATCACAAACTCTTTCAGTATTGTCTACCTTTTAGCCCACTTTTTCATTTTCGGTGACCTGTAGGACTCACTTCGTGAGATATAGAAGGTGATAAGTCTAAGATTTTTCTTTCACTTGGATTAGAGATTGTAGACGGCAATATATATCTGGAATTTCGAGTGATTTAAAGCAGATATTATGTTTCACCTCTTGGGAGCCTGCTCTTTTTGTACCAGTAAATTCTTTGATAGCCCTCCATATTTAAGAGTAGAACTTTAGCAATTTATCTAATGATAAGAGAAAAAGTGAGGCGAGCATTATCCCATCTCGCATTAAGCCTGTCTCTTAGATTTGAGTCACACTTACCTCAGATAACGATTCTTTCTCCCATGCTGTCTGCTTGAATATTTTTTCCTCAGAGTTCTTTAATGGATCTCACATTTTTACCTTTCAGACATTGACGAATGTGAACGTAACCCTCTCCTTTGTAGGGGTGGCACCTGTGTGAACACTGAGGGCAGCTTTCAGTGTGACTGCCCACTGGGACACGAGCTGTCACCGTCACGTGAGGACTGTGTGGGTGAGTTTGTCTCCTTAGCACATAAACCCACTCAGCTCAGCTGGTAAAGATGATAACGATCAGTGGTTGATTCTAATAAACTTGTTTTTGACATGTGAAATCCAGCTGATGAAAAGTTGGTAACTCAGAGTCCCTACATTTGGATTCAGGCCGTCTTTAGACCCTCAAATGAGCCAGCACTTTCCTGGTTTTTCACTTTTTCATTACAAGCATATGTGAAAGGATCTCTGTGAGGTACTCTGTGTAAGGCCATGGAATTCTCTCCTCCAGGTGGGATGGGATGGGATGGGGAGGCCTGCTCCCTGATGCTTCAAGGCCATGGAATTCTCTCCTCCAGGTGGGATGGGATAGGGAGGCCTTCTCCCTGATGCTTCTCCCATGCATACACCTGTGCAGTCACTCAGCAGAGTCTGTTTCCGTGCCCCTGTGTCTGCCGTCATGGGTTCTGCTCACATGTGTGTGAACATGGGATCTCCCTCCACCCCTCTTTTCACAGAAACACCAAGGTCTCTTCACTAGTCCTGAGCTCAGTAGGGCAGCAACCGGGGGCTACACGAGAAGACCAATGGCTAGTCTTGAAGCCTTCCAGCCTACTGCTCTTTGTAAATATATGGAGGCCTCTGGGCTTACTGTATTCTGGTATATGGGCTTTAAAACTTTTGATTTAGCCAGGAAACATTTTCTTTGCAGAAATCTTTCTTGAAAGTATAAGCAAATAAAAGAGTTTAAAATAGAGCTCTTCACAACCCTCCATTTGAAAACATAATTTAAGCACACCTTAATATATTTATTTTTAAATCCTATCTATATTGATATGCTAATATATTAGATGAATCTTAAATCATAGACTAGACAGACATTTTTTAAAAGGTGAATTTAAAAGTTTTAAATATTTGCATTTCATTTTAATAGTGGTACAAAAAGCTTTTATTTATGGTTGTGAAACAGTGACTCAGAGATCTGTTTCTAAGGTCAGTTTATTTTGTTAATTGGTTTTCATGGATCTTACGGCTGAAAAAGTACCCCTCAAAAGTACAATGTACATATAAGACATATTTTTACATATTTAATAAAATAAACATTTAATGGTCATAGACATAAGTCCATATGTCACATAGTCTTACTAATTTTGAGAATTTGGGATGAATTTCTTGCTACGTCTGGTTATATTGTCATTGTTTTTATCTTATATTGTGTCTGACAGGTAGCTGGTGTGAAGAAAAGTGTCACTACCATTTTCTTGCTGTTCTTTTGTGATCTCATTATTAGAAGTAGTTTATTCCATAGATCTTTGCAGGTTTTTTGAGGCACCTGCCCATCTTATAAGGGTTAGTTTATTTTAAAATAGGCAAAATAGTATGTAGATCAACCTATCCGGACACACTGAACATACAATACAATCAAAACAGATTAAATAAGTGAGGGCCCTGTAATTAGCCCCTCTGTTTTGTGGAACCAGCCGTCTTCCCTCAGGAAACATCGAGTTATTTAGGTAACACTTTACTGTCTGATAAGGACCAGCTGAGTGTGCCAATGTAAATTCGTGTATTAAATATTAGCATGCTTCATTTCTGGCATATGCTACATGTGGGTGGTCTAATGTGGTAGTCACTGGACACATGTGGCTCTTTAAATTTAATTAAAATTAAATAACATTAAAAATTCTATTCCTTAGTCATACTATCCACATTTCGAGTGCCCAATAGGAGCTACATATTGGTCAGCACAAAAAAAATGGAACAGTTCCATCAGCGTTGAAAGTTCTGCAGGACGGCACTGTTGTAGATAGAAATAGGAGAAATGTAGACTCCAGCATTTCATTGAATGCCCCTGGAGATTCCCATACCTCCCACAAAGCACATAAAGCCCTTCTCAGACTGCGGCTCTAGTGGTTTAAGTGATGTTGTGATTGCATGAAACATTAATTCTGTGTATTTTTTTATAGATATTAATGAGTGCTCTCTGAGTGACAATCTATGTAGAAATGGAAAATGCGTGAACATGATTGGAACTTATCAGTGCTCCTGCAATCCTGGTTACCAGGCCACACCAGACCGGCAGGGCTGTACAGGTAAGGTTAGGCCCAGCAGGGCTGGAAATTGTGTTTCTCAAATCAGCCTAGGATAACTTCTGGCACTGAAATATCATCAAGTTGATGGGAGTCCTTTGTCATAAAAATAAATCTAAGAATGAGGGCAGATCTCTAAGGTGCCATGGTTTGGTAGTTTTACAGAGGAATCTCTGGTTTTATCATAGAAAACTCTCTAAACTCCATAGGTATTATATTTCTGAGTTCTTTAATCTTAGGTTACTGGAGCTAAATGTCAAATGGAACTCTGTCTAAGAGGAAATGAAAAGAACTTAAGAAAAACAAATGATATAATGATAAATCATCACAAACAGTGGGGAGAAAACTCCAAAACTATTTAAGCATTATCAGTTTCAAAAGAGGAAAAGCTTTTTATCTTCTTTTGTTTTTTTTTTTAAGGAAGTAACTCTGCTCAAGTAATGTGGTTACGATGTTGTATTCACAGATATTGACGAATGTATGATAATGAATGGAGGCTGTGACACCCAGTGCACCAATTCAGAAGGAAGCTACGAATGCAGCTGCAGCGAAGGTTATGCCCTGATGCCAGATGGGAGATCGTGCGCAGGTACAGAAAGGAAAATACACGGACTTTGTATATCTAATTAATTTTATCTTACAAATCTGGCTGCAGATACTTTGAGTGGAACTGGGTGGAAAAAAAATATTTGAGCTTAATGAAAGCCATCCTTGTTTTCATTTGATGTTAATTTTGTATCATCAGATATCGATGAATGTGAAAATAATCCCGATATCTGTGATGGTGGCCAATGTACCAACATTCCTGGAGAGTATCGCTGTCTGTGCTATGATGGCTTCATGGCGTCAATGGACATGAAAACATGCATTGGTGGGTACCATGAAAACAGCATAAATATTTATGTACACATATGCACACACAAATGTGTGCACATTTATGCACACACATATTAACAAAAGAAGAGGCTTTTTCAGATATTTAAAAAATTCGAACCATCGTATTAGAAGATGTCAAAGCTGAAAAGAATTATTTTGAAAAAATAAAGACAATGTATTTATCTGCAATACTGTATCTTGCAAATAGGTTATATTTTTAAATTTATTTGTGTATTTCAGCATTATGCTGTTCAGTTTAAAAGATAGCTTTCGAATTCTAGGATAAGCAAGTATTAACCAAGGTGTTGAAAATAAATTTTCTAGATGTGAATGAGTGTGACTTAAACTCAAACATCTGCATGTTTGGGGAATGTGAGAACACCAAGGGATCCTTCATTTGCCATTGTCAGCTGGGTTATTCAGTGAAGAAGGGGACCACAGGATGCACAGGTAGGTCTCAAGCTTGTATCCTTTGTGTTTTGGCTTCTTACATTTCAGAGGCCAACCTTTAACATCGTATGTTTGCTGGCACCTTTTAGACTATTACCCACACCAGGCTGTGACCCCACCGCAGGGTTGGCCGTGGTTCAGATAGAGAGAGAGAGTGGATGTGGATTCGGTTTCCAAGGTTCTGATGTGCTTCCGGTGACTCTTGCAGCAGAGTTCACTTTCTTTGTAGGACAGCTGCCCAAATATGAGACATACGTAAGGAAGAAGCACCCAAAGGCCTGAAGGGATCCAAAACTGCTTGTTTTTAGTTCTTCTAAACTAACAAAAATTAATCTTGATTTCTATTTAGGACCCTTTCCTTTTTTTCTTTACTCCATCGTTTCCTCTCTTCTTTTTGTTTGCTCTTCTGTCTACTCAAATTGCCTCTCTTTTTACTCTTCACTTCACTTTCTTTCTTCGCTAGCCCCATCTACTTTATCTCTTGTGCCTTTTCTCTACTGAGTCGTTTTGGCTTTTTGCATAAAGGAGGGGCAGAGCTAGGAAGTCCCAAGGTCATTGCTTTAGACCAGATTTTCCTCATTGCTCAATTTAAGGCCCTTGTATGGTATTTTGCTCAAGGCAGGTAGAGTATGGCTTAGACCGCAGCCTGACCCTTAAGCTTCAGGAAAGGGCAAGTAACAAAAGATGTACTCTGAATGTTTATTGCTGGCACATTTGATGTGAAACCAATAATTGTGTGTGATGCATACATCTATGTGTATGTAAAATATATATGTATATATGTGCAAAAGCTTCTAGTCATTTCCCAGATAACATTTCCAGTGAACATTTTTATATATGTTCAAATAAATAGAAACACACACTAAAATGATCGTTTTCAAAATTTTATAAGATAATGTATTGATTCTAAAAATAGCAAGTGATCATGTAATGTTAAGAAGAGAATATACTATTGCTTATTTTTAAAAGTTAGGCTTGTTCTTATTTTCATGAAAAATATGTAACAAATATTAATAGGAAATAATAGCAATCTCTTTTTGGAAATAAGATTTCTCTTGACATCTATAATCTGATGCCTTCTACGTGGGGTTTTGTCCGGGCCCAGGAAGAGAGACGGGCCTCGCCCCTTGGAAGGGTAAGGGCTGACACATAGATGTCAGGGAGCAAGAGCTGCTGCATCTCACTCCAGTTGGAAGACGGCTAGCAATTGCTTCTGGTGAAGGTTTTGTTTGATTTGAATGATGACCTTCCAAATCTTGTTGGACGCTACAAAAAATTAAAAATAATATTAATGTTTTATCTGGACAGTTTTAGATATTTCCATATTTCCTTTATAATTTTACCTACAAAGAAATATACTTGAAAGTAGAGTTAATTAGCTTGTATTTTATCTTCTTCATCTTAACTATGGTTTCTCAGACGTGGATGAGTGTGAAATCGGTGCCCACAATTGCGACATGCACGCCTCATGCCTAAACGTCCCAGGAAGCTTCAAATGTAGCTGCAGAGAAGGCTGGATTGGAAATGGTATCAAATGCATTGGTGAGTTTGCAAATGTAAATAACTTTTACTAAGACACAAAATTTTTAGAGGCTCTTCTTTACACGGTTGTTAACCCACATACTTGAGTAGGAACATGCTCTTCTCTTTCAGTTAGTCTCTTGAAAACCAAAGGCTATCTTTAGTTGCAAGATAATTCTTGTGTAAGAGTTTCCTTTAACCTTGGTATAAACAATCAAATTACAACACTATGCCTTGGCACCTGCTTTTTAATTTGTTGTTCAGTATAAATTATTTGATGTGCAGCTAAAAATCCAAACAATTATATGATAAAAATGACTAATATATTTTCCTAATCTTTTCATAGAGTAATCAGTGAGATTTAAAACTCAGTGAAATAAATGAAGGGAATGAAAAGTTTTTTTCAGATAACCCAAGTCTGAAGTAAGTGGTCAATACCAGCTTCTTAATAGAAAATGGAATTTTTCTTCCAGAGAAATCTAAATGTTTTGTTGGATTCCAAGAGATCTGATTCAAGAAAGGAGTGTGAGGAGGCAGTTGCCATTCTCCAAGTTTTATAGTTATTGAGCCAGAGTTTAATAAGTCTTTATAGCTGTGAGGCAGAGGACTGGATTTTGTCCTTGGTGTCATGCACGGTGCTGCTTAATATGCTCAGTATTTTACATGCCTTAACAAGAAAGAACTTTTCCAACTGGTAAGAATTATCCAGAAAATAGAAAATAAGTCAACCTAAACTGACCTCCCGTGATTGCTCATTTAAATCTTGTAAGCCTGCAGAAGGCATTAAAGAATAGCTTTATAATCTCTTACCAATAGTAGAAGTTACTTTGACTATGCTTTCTTATCCATTTAATTGTTTTATACTTGTTAAATGATTACAAGCTGACTATAGAATTTAAGTTTTTCAAATAACTTTGCTAAGGAATATTCTGTGATGGCTTCAGGTCCACTAACTACCCACCTCTTGTCCAACTATCTCTCTGTCATTAATCTCACAACTTCTCAGTCATATCTCCATTCCCATTTTCTTAGTCCCATTGGACTACTGTTTTTCTCTCTTTTACCCTCCCTTTTTTGTGCTTCTTGTCCATCTATCACTCTGCCCAACTACTGGAAAATAGCCTGCGTTCAATAGCAAAGATTCAGTTGTGTTCAGGCATCTCTACTCCAAAATATCATCCAAATCCATCCACTTCTTTTCATCTCCATTCCCCTGGCTCAAGTCTCAAGCATTCTCTCTCCCAGTATCTCTCACCTGCCCGCCCCCCTGCTGGATGCTAAAACGACCTCCTCATGTGTTTGCTCATTCCCTCTCTGCTCCTCCTACAATCTATTCTTCACACAGCAACCAGACAAATCTTTTAAACCATGGATCTAAAGTCTTCACGATTGTCATTTTAATCCATTGAATTTAGAATAAAATCCAGCTTCCTTCCATGGTTTACAAGATACTGCAGCATCTTCCCACTATTTCTCTAGCTTCATCTTCTATCACTCTCTACCGTCTACACTGTGTTTTGTTACTCCGACCTTCTTTAATTTGTCATACCAAGCTCTTTTCCTCTTCAGTGTCTTTATATGTGCTGTTCTCTCTGCAAGGCAGGCTCTTATTCATCATTTAGATCTGAAGTTAACTAAAAATTACTTCCTTAGTAGAGCTTTCTTTGTTCCTACACATCAAATTAGATGTCCTTTTTTTTTGCTCGCTCTCTCTCCTTGCACCACGTAACTTTTCTTCATGGTATATAATAACAGTATTTAATTTAATTTTTTTGTGTTTAACATCTGTCTTCTCCACTAGACAATGAACTCCATGAGGTCAAGAATCATATCTCAGTTTCTTCATCTATAATAAACTTTAAAAATCTATGCTAATTTTCCTGTTCTGGAATTCAGTAATATCTTAGAAAATGATGCTTTTCTTTTTCACGATAAGGGAACCAGGGATGAAATCCGCCATTACTAGAAGTCAGAAAGAAATCTAGCCCTGGTTTTCTTTCAGCTATTAAAAAGCTAGTTGATTGGATACCTCACAAAATGCTTGAATTAATACTTTTTGCCCTATGTTTGTGGCGTGAGCATTTTGGATCATAGGTCTGACATCTTAGAGAATTAGAACTGTGACCTTAGAGATGAATTAAAACACATTCCATTTGCCAGTTTACATTTACACTGAGACAAATGAGCACCTGTATGAGAGTTTAAATGTTTCATTTTTGTTTCTGAACTTTATTGCTATATTCTCTTGGCATGTAGATCTGGACGAATGTTCTAATGGGACCCACCAGTGTAGCGTCAACGCTCAGTGTGTCAATACCCCAGGCTCCTATCGATGTGCCTGCTCTGAAGGGTTCACTGGAGATGGCTTTACCTGCTCAGGTGAGTGAGAATCCTGAGCGTGTTCTGGCATGGTTTTCTGGAAGACTCTATATGCTTTCCTTATTTGAAGAAAACTATAGTTAAAGAAGGCCAAAGTCACTACTTCTGTTTAAAAACTTACAAGTGAACATGTATGTTTCTCTTACATTAAACACAAAAACCCGAAAAATTTTCCAAGACATTGGTGGAAGTTTTAAAATAATGACATTTATTACTATCCTTTACTGTTAATAACTATCATTTTCTCTTATTTATTTATTAACACATTAGCCAAAAATATAGGCTCTGTCTGAATCAGGCCACCTGGACTCAGATCTTGCCTGTGCTGCTTACTGGCTCTGTAGCCTGAAGTAAATTACTTAACCTGTATAGTGTTAGTTTCCCCATTTTAAAATGGACATAGTAATGATAACAATTATGATACTATTTTTTTCTTTTTTAATCACTAAATGAAGAATATGTGGGAAAACTATTCAGCTTCTTAAGATATGATATATGACCTACCCAAGAACTGCTATTTAATGTGTTTATTAAAAACTAAGCTTATCGCATGGTATCGAAAGGACTAAATGGAATGATGCAATAAAGAGCTTAGAAAAACACATCATAAGCCCTCAATAAATGTTCATTGATACTTAGCTGCTATACATTCCACATTCCTTAAGGATAAAAGATCCACTCATTATATTCATACGTGAGACTAGATCATCTTGCTGGATGTAAAGTATGATTTTTTATTTGTAAGATAGGTGTTTCTCAGTTGAATTTCAGTATATACTTTAAACCTATAATTAAAAGATAGACAAATTCTTTTTCTAATTATTGACATTAAAAACACAGACTCATTTTCAAATACTTCTTTAAGAAAATAGGCCTATTCAATTTTAAAGCATTAGTATTTTTAAAACTTGGATATTGCACCTATCTTAATATTTCTGTGCACCATGGTGTGAAGGGCATGGCTTTGTCAGACACAGCCATGCTTAGATCCTGGCTCAGCAGCAAATTAACTTTCTGTGACTCCCGCAGCTCAGATGGCTGCTCTTAGCTTCTGTTCTTCCTTTTCTGAACCTCTCAGGATTGGTGAACTAACTGAAAACGTGCATGTCAAACAACTAGTACACTACCTGGCAAGTATTGGGCCCTCAATAAATATTGGTTTCTGCTCTCTCCTCTCCTTTCCATTAGATGGAATTAAATAAATTGTCTGCATGGTCTATGAATAATCCCATTTGCATGATTAAGATTAGGAATATTTTAATAAGATTATAATGCTGTGAAAGAAACTTCCTTCATTCCCACAGTGTCCCAGATTTGCTTAGAAATACTTGAACGGTGAAAGACGAGGTATTTCTTCTAATACCATAATGTTTTCAAGTGAATTAACACCATTTTAAGATTAATACTAGTATTCTTGGTCCTATCGAAATGATGTTGGTATAACAGTGACGCAACAACTTAGCATTAAAGAGAACTAAGACAAATGCGAGACACCTGCGTTCCTTCTTTTAATCGTGTTCCAATTTAATGTTAGGGTGTAGGTTACATAGTCCGCTATCAAGTTGTATACCCTTATTTAGGTGACTATGATTAATTGTTGTTTCATGTTAATGAACACTAATTTAAGCCAGTAAAGTGGATTTCGTTATAGAGCAAGGAAGAAGTGTGTCATGAAATTTGGAACTTAATAGAGGTAATTTGTTTCTCCCCCAGATGTTGATGAGTGCGCAGAAAACATAAATCTCTGTGAGAATGGACAATGCCTCAATGTCCCGGGTGCATATCGCTGCGAGTGTGAGATGGGCTTCACTCCAGCTTCGGACAGCAGATCCTGCCAAGGTGGGTCACCAGGATTCCAACTCATTTCCAAGTTGGATCAACTACAGCAAATGGAACCACAAAAAGGGCTGGAACAGGCTCCACCTGGAAGCAGAATACACAGCACATGCTGCACATAAAAAAGTCATTCGTTTAAGCATGGATTATTTTGCCGAATGAATAATGAGGAAGGCGGCTTTCATCTCTTATGAAGTTTTCCTGGCCACGAGCCAATAGTTGGAAGTTTGGCTCAGTCTTTTTTTTTTTTTTTAACCATTTCTTTTTGTATCACTAAATGAATGACATGTGGAAAAACTATTCAGCTTTTAAAATATGATATACTACCTACTCCAATCACTGCCATTTAATGTGTTTATCAAAATCTAAGTAGCTCATTTTTGGCATTTACCATCATGTTTTGGTCTGCTGCCTTTATGTCTGTGACTAGCAGTCCTCTTCAGGGACTCATCAAGGACTGCACCTTTTGCTTGATAGCAATGTCTCCTTCCTCTAAGCTATGAATCACCACTCTTTTTCTAGAAATGAGAGTTTCTGACTAGTATATCTTTCCAAGAAAAAGACTTTGGATTTTCTTTTAAATTGGAGACTCAGTTCATATTACATATCATTCGGGCCATCATTATGTTCATAGGGAGTGCATTAGTATGTAAACGAAGAAAAGAAAAATATTAAAAACAATTCATAAACCGTAGGCTATAACAAAATTAGTGATTCGTAGAACACCTTTTAAGAAGATAACTCAGGCTAACTGCTGGGCAAAGATTACAAAATGAAATCAGATTACAAGCTCTCTTTATACTACTAGTGTCTAATCAAATGAACAAAAACAGTAAATACCAGCACACACACACACATACACACACACACACAATTCACCAGAAGCAACCCAACAAAACCAAATTATACAATCTGGGTTGGCTTGGAGTAGAACCTAACTCTGACCCACTAACAGAAGTGGCACTGAAGAAAGAAAGTGTGCCTTAAAGATTGTGAAATTTTCTATTAATATCAATCTATTTTGAAGAGAATCAGATAAGAGAATGAATAGTAGGCCCTGGAGAAGATGATATTAGAAACCGAAAGCATTTGACGCTGGCCTGCTAGATTGGGCAGAATATAATCCACTTTACGCAAGGCAGCTGTAGAGTGAGCTTTGTTTTTTTTTCCCCAGTCCTGGTTTCTTCTAAGCACTGAAGCCAGCTAGTAGAAAATTTGAGTCAATGTGGTTATGGAATTACATGATTTATTACCCATGTCAGCTTGACAAGAGTTAGTGGGAAAGGGAACAAGTAAGCAGTGGCCAAACACTTCTGCCAACATAAAATTTTGAAATTAGTTCTTTATATATAAGACAGAATTTCCTCTTCATAATTCTGTTCCTTTATCTGTGGCCTAGGCCCTTCTGAAACTTCTCCCATACCTCCCCCAAGTTTTTTCTGAGTAATTTTTATTTAGTATACTTCTTTCACTTGTTGATTTTCTCATAATATGTCATTACCACCAAGAGAAATCCCAATTGCCAGGGCTAATGAGCTATTGAGAGTAGCACACATGTAGTTTACCCTCAGTTAAACCGTCTGCTCCATTTAGCTAAATGCCAGCTTTTGAGATCTCCAAAATGTACTTTTATGGTTCTGCCTGTTTCTCCTTATTTTTGTCTTCCCTATTCCTGTAAGATCTGGTTCATCTAGACAGTTTCTACTAAATTTACTAATTTAATTCCTTGATGTCTTCCCATCTTATTATAAATATATACCTCTCTGAATTGACCCTCTGATTAACATTTTCCACTTAATATCAACTTCTCACCACAAATTGTCAATTTCTATAGAGTTCAAAAAATGGCTGGAGTTAAGCAGGTCCCAATATTCCCCATTGACATGGGAGAATACAAATCCTGCAGGGACCTCCTCAAAGACAGGTGAGGACTACGTGTCACATGGACTGAACCTAGATACAGGCTGTTTAGTGTAATGTTTGAAGAGAGCACGGAGGCAGGTTCATCAACAAAGAGCCCAGTGTAGCTTTTCCCATTCATGTTTCTCCTGATCCACCTGCCTTATGAAACTGTTCCCCTCCTCCTCCCTCCTACGGAAAATTTGGACTACAGAATAGAAGCTTTAATGAAACTCACACCCCAAGCCGCCTTCCAAATAAAGCCCAGATCAAGAAGGGGGCTGTCAAGAATCTCCATCTACAATTGTGTCAGGTTGTAGAAAAACTCTCAAAGGAGCAACCACGGAATGTGTATGCAAACTGGGAACGAACAATGCACCTGTGCAGGCATCCTGTGGAAACAACAACAAAAAGAACATTCAAAAAGCAGATAAAGAACCAACCTAGAGTAGAAGAAAATTACCCAAGGACAAAAGCAAATTTCTCAAAATAACCTTAATAAAATATAATTGAGCAAGTTCAAAAAGATTATAAAAACAGAAAAAGACAAAAGACAGAGATTGCAGAGTCAAGAGAAGCAAAAAATGGGGGTCAGTACAGAAAAATTAGAGATCTATTAAATAGAAACATCAAGAACAGTAGGGATAGCTGAAAATGTAATTACTAGCATAGAGAATGGACTTGAGATAATCACGGTGAACAAAAAAGAGGAAAGAAAGAAATTAACACTGTGAGAGAAAAGAGAAAGACCAAAAATAAGTATAATCAGTGTCTCTGAAGTGGAGAGCCCCCAAGAAATTGAATAGTAAAAAAATACTAAATAAACAAACATTTTCCCAAAATAGAAGAAAGAATTGAATGTACAAGAAAAGGTAAATCGTAAGACAAAGACAGCCTTATTACTTTTTTCGACTTAAGTCATAGAGAAGAATTCTTCAGACGCTAGATTAGAAAAGGCAAGTCATGAACAAAACCACTCAGTACCAAAAGACACTAGAACGATGCCCAGAAAGTTCTGAGGACATGTGCGACTGAAGAATGTTATACCTCAGCAGTTAATTATAAAGGCAGTAAGTGTATTCTCACATATGAAATAATTCAGAAAGAAAACACCTGTAGGCTTTCCCTTCTGGAGAGGGGGCAGAAAACATCAGCAATGAAACACAGCCAATCAAGAAGTAAACGGAGAAGTTGCAGTTAAAACATATTGATTCCTTTAAGTAAAGAATTAGTACTAAATGCTGTAGATATTATGGTAAATACTATAAACATTTAAAAAGTGAAAATAATATAAATTACAAAAATGAGTTGGAAGCATATATGAATGCTAATTTTCTTATTGTACAGTTTCCATTAATACTACCTAAAAATTATATTTGAATTTTAATATAAAACTAAAGGATGATAAACTTTCAGTGTTTTTTAAAATCAATTCTTAAATTGAGAAAGTATTTCAGGAACTGTCAAGATTTTAAAAAATCAATCCGATGCATGCAAATGGTTTCTGCTTCACTGTTTGTGAATATCCATAGAGACATATTTGAAATGTTGTTTATCAATGATAATTCTTTCTGGCTAGAAGCATTTTGGAGTGACTCGCTTTTGCTTTTTTATTTTATGTATGGTTTTCTATCTTTTCTGTTTGCTATCCATACTTTTCTGAATTTGAATTTCTGAGAATACATCAATTTTATAAAAACAAGACAGTATTTTCTTAAAATACCTATTTTATACAACTATTACATTATTTAAATGGAAGTTATTTCTAATAAAGTTCATTTAAAAGTAAAACACATGCTCAGCTGATAACACAATTTCTTCAGGTTAACACATTAAACGATAAACTAGTTTAATTAGTCTTTATTCAGTTTATATAAAGAGAATAACTTTATTAATTTCCCCAACACAAGAAGAGACACCTTTACACATCAGTTAAACTTTTAAACACAATTTGAACCATACCTTAAATCTGAGAAAATTGAAATTCATTATTTTAATGATCATGATTGACCAGAAGACTCTTTTAGACTTAAGATAGGGGTAACTGCCTCATGATAACACTTTAGATGGACTAATGTAGTCTAGCCTAAGATGACATGCCTGGGCTGCATTCTCAGAACGTAGGGTAATTTGGGTACGAAATGTCCACCCTCTTGCCACGAGGGGAAATATATACTGTTTCTACAGTTGTACACACACACATATGCCTTCATTTGCATGTGAATAAGGGGTGATTTCTCATTTACTGACTTTGAGTTAGAGCCTCATGGAGGAGTTTCACAAATTAAATTTCTGACTTCAATGGAGTTATTTTAATGAGATTTGTAAGAATGTGGGGCAATGGATAATATTATTATTATGCTCTTAGAAAGAAAATTATTTCCCTGTTTATAACTGACTATGATACAGGTCAGACTATAGAATAAAGACATTTAAAAAAGTTGAATTTAAATAATTTCACATCTTTAATATTAAAAATATTATGTTGTATATTTTGTATGTTGTCGATGTTTAAAAAACATCTTACATTTGCACTAAATTGTTGAAATCTTTAAACTGGGTTACAGCGTTCCTGGCTGGAAACCCGCCCCTCCCTTTGGGGCGTACTGTCTTATCTCTTTACCTCCTAAGTTCCACAGGGCTGCAGCCTTTCCTGGTGCGTCCCCGTCTCCTTCTAAAATATACTTTTAATAAATATTACTTTTTCTCAAAAAAAAAAAAATCTTTGAATTGGTTTTTAAAACTTCATTCTTTTGACATATTTTGGGGTTTTTTTTTTATGCCTTAAGTGAATTATTTTTGTTTATGTATATTATAACCCAAGATAGTTAAAATACTGTCAATAAAATAAAATAATAGTTCTTTTATATTTTGTACAATATATAAGCATTAGTTGCTTGTCATTTACATGACTTACCTCGTCAAAGAAAAAGAAATTTTTTTACTGCATAAAAACATCTGAGGAGATAGAAAAATTCATAATGTTATACGTTAAATTAAAAATTTTAAGTCCTAGTAAACAGATTAATGTCGCTCTTTTTTAAATTTTCAGATATTGATGAATGCTCCTTCCAAAATATTTGTGTCTTTGGCACATGTAATAATTTGCCTGGAATGTTTCATTGTATCTGTGATGATGGTTATGAATTGGACAGAACAGGAGGGAACTGTACAGGTATGGCCAGTTAAGGGCTCAATTATGTTCTTATTAGTTGAAATGAATATTTTGTACTAAATTCTTCAAATTTCTACTTAGCTAAACTACGCCTTGGGTTATGCATTTTTTGAAACAAAATTACATTCTGATACATTTATTTTTAACTATGGAATTGACCCATTTTTATATAAACAACCTAATATGAAATATCTAACATGAAACTAGGAAACTATTTCTGTATATATTTTTGTATTTGCATGCATACATACATATATATGTATACACACATATGTATAAAATTTTAGTTAAGCAAATAGTGACATACTTCCCTCAGAATTCCAACATTTAATTATTATTTGTCTATTAAGAATATTAAATGACATTATCATAAATACCATATGATTATGTGGTATTTACAAAGGTTTATACAAAAGTTTAGTCTTTATTTCATTGTGCTAAATCCTTCATGATCTGTAATCTACTAACTTGCAAGAAGTCCACTGAATTCTTTGGAACAGCAGTATGCATAGAGAACATAAAGATCTTAATGTGGGCATTTTAATTGTTTTTCCTAGATATTGATGAATGTGCAGATCCCATAAACTGTGTTAATGGCCTATGTGTCAACACACCTGGTCGCTATGAGTGTAACTGCCCACCTGATTTCCAGCTGAACCCCACCGGTGTGGGTTGTGTGGGTAAGTAAAAGCTATCTGAAACAAATAGAATTGTATAGAGTTGAATAGTCAAAATCTCTTGGTAATGAACTATGATAAGTATTTGCTCCAGTTAATCTGCAAACAAAACAGTTCTTTCCTTGAAGAAACTCTAGATTACCAAATCATATCATCATTATATCATGGCTTGGAGAGGTGCCGTGCTTTGTTCAAGGTCTCAGAGCCTGCAAATGGTAGAGCTGAGATACAATCTCAGATTGCCTGGTCACCTGTCCAGTGCATTGGCCAGGACAGCCCAAAGTGGTAGAGCTAATGGTCTATACATTTCACTTTCCTATAAGAAGGGTCAGGTAGTAATAAATGAAGTAATGAGAAGAGAGGAATTGGAGAATTGGATTTCTTAAGCCATTGGAGTGGAGCAAGTTGTGAGATCGGGAGAAGCAAGAAAAGCAATAATAAAGGTTCAGAATCTCTCATCGACATTCCTACATTCCTGACATCTTCGATCTTTAGAAAATAATTGCCCAGCTTTTGCCATCTGCCCTATTTCTGCACTGTAGTGAGCGTTTACCTAGATGAGTAAATGATCTGGAGAATTTCCTGGCAGAATACAGAAAAAAGGAAGGAAGGAAGGAAGGGAGGGAGGGAGGGAGGAAGGAAGGAAGGAAGGAGAAAATTTTTTCTTCAGTACAAATCTGCCTGCTGTCTTCAGCATCAGCTTTCCTATGTATAGACCTGTGTATATGGAGGGAATGTTCGCCACTGTGATTTATACACAATTTTTATGTTCTTTTCTAATTTCAGTGCATATGTTGAGTTACGGTTTATGGCTACTCCAAGTTCTGACTTTTTCATTCAAAGTGATTTGTTCAGTAAATATTGAGTGCCTTCTATTCTAAGGGTTGGAGAGGCAACAGAGTAAGCAAATATGTTTACGTTCTGGTGGCAGGGAGACAGATATAGGAAGAACGGATTCTGACACTGAAGGCGCTTGGAGAAAAAGTGCTGTGAGAGCAAGCCAAATAGACCTCGAAGAGGAGAAGCCTCCAATGAAAAGGAGCAGCCAGTGCAAAGGGCCTGTGGCAAGAGAATACCAGTGTTGTAGACGCAGCAATGAGACTGTATTGAATGGGGTGGGGGCTGAGGATGAGGATAGGAGGCAGAGAAGGAGCAATAGCCCGGATCACAAGATGGTTCTCGACTTCAGATATGCAGTAAAATTCAAGAAATAAAAATTAAAACAATTATATAAATATCACTTTATAGCTAATAGACTGGCAAAAATTACAAAACCTGGATAATGTGGTGAGTTTGTCTCATGTACCTCAAGGGTCCGTCTGTTCTGCTGGTGGAAGTGTAGACCAGGAGGACAGTGCACTACAGTACTCAGATTACTTGTCAGCATATAATCAACCTCATTTTTGAGTTTCTCAGAGCAGTTCTAACTGTTACATGGATCAATACTTTGTGGCTTTAATTTTTCTTAGAGATTTTCCAAAGAACAAAGACTCAGTCTATCTCACAAATGCCATAAGGGTCCACCCTACCCTTTTATAAGTCTAAGATACGTTAGGAGATGTTAGTGATCTTATTTTATTTTTCCTTTGTCTCAAATGAACCATTTTATTATCCTAGTTTTGTTTTATCATTACTCATTAGTTATGCTCAATGATTCTAAAAACAAAGATGAATATAATAAGAATGTGGAATGTGTTTCTAAAAACAAAGATGAATATAATAAGAATGTGGAAAATGGTGGCATCACCTAGAAGGATGACACGATAGTGAAAATGTCACTGTTGCATCACCCTTCAGTTTTCTTGCCGTGTTGCCCAAGGGATTATGTCATCTTTCAGGCAGGTATAAAAATGACTGGAGACAGTATATTTGGTCTCTTCTTTGAACATTTATTGAACACAATTGAGAATTCAGAAGTTTTCACTTTCTGGCCATAATGGCAAAGAGAAGAAAATTGACAGTGGGGAACATTTTACTCTTGTTAGATGTTTCAGAAGATGAATGCATCAGAAACCAGTTCTCCTAGTCTAGATTCTGAAGATGATGGTTAGATGATATAAGCAAAATGTCAGGCCGTGAGTCTTCAGAGGCCAATATCCTAGATGAAATTTTTCTAATTCAACAAAGAATGAGTGAACAATATATACTTCTATAGACAAAGGAAATGTGATATTCTTCTCTGTAGGTGAATAAGAAGAAATTCAACATATGCAGTATTTGACAAGTACCTGAATTGTCCCAGGTTCTTGTATTCTTCCACATCCAAAATTTAATTGATATAGTTCTGAAGTAGACAAATGATGAAGACAGGGTCATTGAAAGGAAATATGTGATTTAGAAATAAAATAAAATGATTGGACTGATGATTCTAATAGGAATTGATAAATTTTTAAATGAAAATATTTTCCATTTGTGTAGGAGAGAAAATAGTTGTTTTCTGGTCAACAAAATTATGAGCTATCAGAGTTCTCAAAAATTTCTTCAGTGTTGTGTTTTAATGATGCAAGAACAAGAAGAGAAACAAGAAGTAATGATAAGTGTCTACAACCATACCACCCTGAACGAGCCCGATCCCTTCTATTCTCGGAAGCTAAGCAGGGTCGGGCCTGGTTAGTACTTGGATGGGAGACCACGTAGGAATACCAGGTGCCGTAGGTGTAAAAAATAAAAAATAAGAGATTGTAAGCTGACGAGGTCCTTGCAATCTGTGAGGTCAACCAAGGGTTGCCTTGCTTAAATAAATAAATAAATAGATAGATAGATAGATAGATAGATAGATAGATAAATAGATAAATAAATAAAAGTAATGATAAGCTAGAACCTATTAATAGAGACGTGTTTGAAAAGTAGAATCACTTTTTACAAATCACTTTTAATTTCAGGTTCATGCATAACAGCCGACAAGCAGTTGATTGCTTTTATAGGGCCATTCAAAACCAAGAAAATAAGGAATAAAACTTTGAGTTAGTAAGGATTAAATTCTTACTAAAATTTCTAGTAAAGATATTTCACTATGCAAAGATTGTTTTGTAATAAGATTAAAACAACCCTTTTCTTTAATGTACAATAATTTGAATTTTATCATTTGAGTGACCTTTCTCTAAAAGAGGAATTGTTACTACAGCGAGGGCAGTTGTATCACAAGCTCCTGTGTTGCTCCGCAGACAACCGCGTGGGCAACTGCTACCTGAAGTTCGGTCCTCGAGGAGACGGGAGTCTGTCTTGCAACACAGAGATTGGAGTGGGCGTCAGTCGCTCCTCCTGCTGCTGCTCTCTTGGGAAGGCCTGGGGGAACCCCTGTGAGACGTGCCCCCCTGTCAATAGCAGTGAGTATGGAGCTGAAGAAGTGGAAGGGAACAAACTCTGGTAGCTGAAGACTCGTTGCCATTTTAGTCTTGTGCTGGGCACGGGAGTACTAGTGAGGGTCAAAATTTTGAATGTGGACTACTTTCCTTGATTATGCTGAAACCAGCCAAGAGTGTTTTATGTAAAAGGAATTGAATTCTTCTTATTGTTTTTCATGATACGATAAAAAGATAAAAACAATCTTAAACCACAATTCAGTGTGAATGGTGATAATTTCAATTCTTCATGATATCACAGATAAATTAGACCATTCCTGGTTCTTCTCCAAAGTTGTTTTAGTTCAGGTTCACAGCTGTGTTTTATTCCTGGAGTCAAGGGTATTATGCCTTATGTTGAAATGTAAGTTCTGGTATGGACATAGATGAAACTTTTGAATTGTCACGTCTTTGAGTTTTCATTTTCTAGCCAAAAAGTTGTGATATAAATTACCTGCAAAGGAGTTTTTTCTTTAATTAAAAACAAATAGTTTTTATTATTCCATCTGTATGATTTATGAAGTAATGATCTCGTTTCAAGTGAAATGTAATATACATGTAATATAAATGTAATATAAATGTATTTGAAAGGGCACTAAAGAAAATGTAGATACATCCCTTAGGATATGTGTTTTGAGCCTGGCAATTGCTGAATACTTGTTCGTTGTCTCAGCCACTTGGACAGAGTTATTAAATCTCTTCTTTTCCATCGTTTCATAGCTGAATATTACACCCTGTGTCCTGGAGGTGAGGGCTTCAGACCTAACCCCATCACAATCATCTTAGAAGGTGAGTACAGCTGAAATTGTCACCCCAGATTTAAACAAAGTAAAGAGAAAAGCTGATGGAAAAGTTAGTGTGGAGGAATTCCAAGAAGATTATTTTGCAAAATTATAGATGGACAATCAATCACTAGGATTCTAAGAAACAACTTGTAAGTCAGAAAGATATGGCCCATTGCAGTGATCCGATGTCTGATTGTTCTGCAGAGAAACTCTCTTTACCATTATCCCCCATCTTTAATCGTTCCCAAATTGCTCTACTCACTCTTCTCAGATTGTAGCACAGTTCCACGACAAAGCCAGGAAAATCTATGCTCAGGGTAAACCTACCGTTTTAGTATGTGTATTCACGTGGATGCGTGGACGTCTGTGGGTCTTACCCATTTGTAAGCGCTAACGCTAACATTTGTCTTTCATGATGGTCTTCATTGTGAGTTGTCTCCCCTTGTGCAGATATTGATGAATGCCAGGAGTTACCAGGTCTCTGCCAGGGAGGAAACTGCATCAACACTTTTGGGAGCTTCCAGTGCGAGTGCCCACAAGGCTACTACCTCAGCGAGGAAACCCGCATCTGTGAAGGTGAAGTGGATTTGACCTAAAAAACAATCAAATCAGTGCTATTTAAAACAAAATTCCCCATCAGGCCTGGGAAAAGACTCCATCCTTACATTCTATCAAAGGATCTGTTGAGATGAATTTGTAGCTTTTTTCTTTTTATATCAACACTACTGATACATTAATTTACAGCTCATTTGCTATAATTTACTATGGTTTTTCTCTGGTGAGTTGAT